TTTTTGAATATGATCAAACAATTCATCCAGGCTGAATTCGTCTGCTGCAATTAGTATCTCGAGAATTAGCGAAGCACTTTGTTGGTCAAGAGGGATAGTGGCACCGTAAAGATAACTTGAATATTCAAACAAAAAGATGAATTAAGCATTAAGAATAACCCATAAAATACTTTGACGATTATTTACTTTAAAATGACCGAAAAAACATTTGGCGAAATATCATCTTTCTTAAATTTAATCGTGCCATTTTCAACGCTTGCCCAATCAGCGGACAGTGCTCGATCAAAATAGCTAGATCTAGCACGAAGAATTACGGAATGAGCATTAAAGATTTTTTTATTCGACTCAACACCTATTTCAACAGCAACATCAAAATTGTCGGCTCTTTCGAGTAGTCGACTGAAATCTCTTGACATAAAACTAAGAAATTCGGTCGTCATTTTTGAAAAAACTCGATAAGACTAAGTCAAAAATTGTATAAAAATTAAGTATACTCGTATGTCATGAATACGTAAGTAACGATATTTAAATGTGTGTCAAAGGAAAAATGTGTAGTACGAGTGTACAATGAGAAAAATATATATGTGTTTACGTTAAGTGCAAGGTGACGGTGACGGTGAAGTGAGGTTTTGTGAAAGTGTAAAATGAGGATAACGATAGGTATAGATTGGTATAGATTGGTATTACGTGCATGTACGTATTGCTTTCTCCACGACAATAATCGATGTTAACAATTTAAAACGGGACAAAATTCACAAAGTATTCATAATTACCGGAACTGCCATAGTAAAAATACCGATATACAGTATACGAGTTCTTATGTACATGTGTTACGTAATAACAATACTCTTTTAGATTCAAATACACGCACTGCATATTTTTTATACACACTATATACATGTACATACAACCATTCTCATGAAAGCTGGCCAATTAATTCGCCATATTAATTAAACAACATAGCGATAATAATCGTATTAACGATATCGATATGATAGTTTTTATAAAAATCTCTTCAAGACCATTTACAACATGTATTATAGAAAAATATACTCTGTACACACATTTTAAAAATGACCATGTGATGTGAGGTCTTATAAGTTTGGAACTGAGTGTGCATTTGAGGTTGCATTAACTGTACGTAACGGTAACGGTAATACATGTATTAACGTTATCGTTATGCATGAACAGTACCCAAAAAGTAACGCCCGATTTAAACTTACATGTATATTTTGTGCCCGAGATCGATCGCGCTTGGTCCAAATTAGGATAGGAGTTTTACTAGAGATAGAGTTAGGGTTAAGGTTAATAGATTAATGTTGATCAAAAATAATCACGTGAAGCGCGATCTGACGCAAGCATCGATCTCAGGCACAACATATATAATATATACAGTCAGAGCTGGTTACAGTAACATGATCGGGGGAGAGGTTTTGGTGATGTTATTATATCCAATAATAATTAATATAAAAAAAATTTTTTGTACCAAGCAAATGTTACTATAATCAGCATGTTATTATAAAGAATGTTACTCTAACTGTACTGTACATATATTATTAGTGCTAAGAAACATTATAATGATTATAGCCAGTCAAAAATAGCCGATTGATCATCACTGGCTGTAATCACATTATAAAAAAATGATTATGTTATAATATTCTAACAACTTCACAATAAAACTTGAAATTAATCTAACTCTTTTTTCCTTAACGTTAAATGTATAAAATATTTTTATATTTATAATTTTAACTTCTCTATTCATCTTATAAATAATGTTACTCTGACTGTATTATATATGTATTATTAGTGCTAAGAAATATTATAATAATTATAGCCAGTCAAAAATAGCTGATTGATTATCACTGGCTGTAATCACATTATAATTTTTCACATATTATTAAAAAATGATCATATTATAATATTCTAACATCTTCACAATAAAACTTGAAATTAATCTAACTCTTTTTTCCTTAAAGTTAAATATATAAAATGTTTTTATATTAATAATTTTAACTTCATCATAATATTCCTATTTATCTTATAATTTTGAATTAATTTGCAATTTTATAGGTATTATATGATTTTTCTTGAAAGATCATTATTTTCAAAATTTCTATATTGTGATTTTTGATCAGAACAGTCTTTATATTGTTTGTTTTTAATAGAATTCTGAAAAAAACGTTTGGTTTGATTCAAGTCTGGTTCAGTTTGAGCTTGAACCAAACTCAAATCTGATTAAAAGTCCAATTTGAAAATTTGAATCTAATTAAAAGTCTGATTTGAATTTAGTTTGAATTTCAATCTTAATATGAGCTACAAATTAATATAAAATAGTTAATATTTGGAATGAATGGGAAAAAGAGACCAAACGACTAAAAAAACAAAAAGAGCAGAAAGAAAAAGAAAAACTAGATCGATATTTAAGAAGTTATATGAATTTAAAAAAAATTTTAATTATTATAATTTTAATCTGTTTTAGTTATAGTATAATAAATATTTATTTGCTATAATAATTATAAATTATAGTTATAAGTAAGTTATAGCTAGAAATAAGAGTTACAAATTTGTATAAGATAGTTATTAATAATAATAATTATTCAGAGAGTTATATAATCAAATTTAATAAATATAAAAATAAAATACTTTAGCTATCACTATATAAATTTTTAATTCTTATTAAATATCATAAATTGTGCTTATAAGTAAAGTTATAGCTTATATTTAAAGTTATAAATCAGTATATGATACTATATGCTGATCTTTAATCAAACTTGAACCAAACTCAAACTTATATAATAATTCAGTTTGAGTTCAGTTTAAGGTTGCTTGCTGAAATCTCTTAGTGACTGTCTAAATTCTGTCGAAATTATAATAAACTATTAGTAAATAACCCA